ACAGCTTGTTAGTGTGTAAGCTGCTGTGCATGCACGTGCAAGCCTTTGTGTAGTGTTTGCGCATATACATTTGCATGTGTGTGTGTGTGTGTGTGTGTCTCGTATCGCTGAGATACAGCGCCTGGCACCAGGCAGCCAGGGGAATTAGACAGTGTGTCTCAGGGTGAGGGTGGATATTTGGCACTATCACACAAACATTCCTCTCTCTCTCTTCTCAGCCAAAGGCTCTTGAGTTCTGTCACTGTCGGTCAATGAAAAACATCCTTTTGAAAAAACAAAACAAAACTGCTGCTGAACTTGTCACGCACTAGAATGTTTGTACGGTGAGGAGTAAAGGGCAAAACTGTGAAGCTGCAGATCTTTCACTGCTTCACGTGAATTGAGGTGAAGCAGTGTTTGACATGTGAACTGTAGGGGGTGCTGTGAGCGTCAGTAGTAGCATTAAAATACACTGAAAGACTTCCAACATTCTCCTCTCCTTCCACTTAAACCCAGTGAACTCTCTGCACTAACGTTTGACTGGGGCTTCGAGCTGCCGCTCACTGATTGGTGCTCGCTCTGCTCTGAGTAGATAAGTCTAATATTCATTTCTTTATCGGCGCTGAAATCTGCCCACGGTGATTCGTGTGCCAGTTCACCAGCCTGGAGGTCATTTCTCACACTGAACACCGTTTAATTTGATTCAGTCTGAGAAGCATGTTTTATGATTTTGGTTTGAGTTTTGGCAGAAATATTTGTTTTGCCGCAGGACGTTGCGTTGCTCAGTGAATCCCAGACGAGTTCTAGTAAATCTGAGACAACATTTGAGGAGTTCCCAAATTATCAGTTAGCAACATTGATATTTAACACCACCTTTGACATCACCACACTGGAGCATTACAGTATTTCATCTCACCCTTTTCCTCACCTCCTCCTCTGGAAGACCATTAAACTAATTTGTCTTTTTTTTTTTTTATTTGTCATTTTATTTTTCCCACCAGCTCCATGTTGTCTAAAGTATCAGCACATCCCTCGACCCTTTTTCTCACACTGTTCAACCTCGGCTGATCCGCTGACCTGTCCAGTTCTAATCTCTCCATCCTGACTGCTCATATTTGGATTCTAAATCTCTGCCACCTCCAACTCTGTCTTCTGTGTCACAGCATCTTTCACCGTTCTCTAATGGAACTTTTTACTTTCAATCTTGCTACTGTTCTTCTGTGACACTGCACCCATGACTCCTGTGTCAATCCTTTCAGTATTAACCTCAAACATTTGTTCTTTATTGTCGCAGACCTTCATGTTCCTTTCTCTCCACTGAAGACCTTGAATTTTTCAGATTCTCTTCCATTTGTCGCAGACCTTCATGTCCCTTCTCTGCAGTACTGACCTTGAATTTTTCAGATTCTCTTCCATCTGCCTATTAAAGCTTTGTAGAGAATTATTGATCAAAAATAACAAACTCTTACTGTATTCCTAAAAAAAATATATATGTGTGAAATCTTCTGACTATATTATGGAGCTGCAGTTTCCTCAGGATCCTGGCACTGCTCCGTGGAACATGTTGGTGCAGCAGAGGTTTAACACTGACAGAATGAAATGTAGTTCCTCTTAATTCCTCTCCTATTATAATAAAATTTGCTCGACCTGCTGAGTCATGACAAAATCTTTAACAAAATTATTATAATAAAATTTGCTCGACCTGAGTCATGACAAAATCTTTAACAAAATCATTGATATTAAATCTTTAAGGAATTGAAAACTTCTGTCTGTTTACCTGACAGACGTACGAGACTCATTCTCTATTTTTTTTTATTTTCGAAGGAAGCGTCAGTTGAAGTTTCTGTTGGAGGGGAGAGGTCGGCGTCCAGGACTGAGCCCGGAGGAGCTGCGGGACAACGGGAAGCTCCTGGGGGAGGGACTGAGCCGAGCGCTGTTTAACTACCCCAGCAGACACTGCAGTACAGACAGCCCTGAGGTCAGTGGACTTTTCTCCTCAGGGATCATCCCACAGGGTCTGAAAAATACAAAAAAAAATACACCCGGCCTCCTCCCTGACCCTAATAACCACCAAATAAACCGTAGTGTCAGTTGGAGCTGGTATTACACACAAACTTGAAGAAGAAGACTCGATGATGAAGACCACACCAGCCCTGGATTAGATCTCAGTTCTCTGTGTTTTTTTGTTTGTTTTCCTGAGCGATCTGCTCCGTGTTGGTACAACTGCGTCCCATCATTCCTGCAGATTTGTCAACTGCACATGATAATCACGATGCCAATCTTCTGTTTATCACACCACACGGAGCGACGGCTGTTTCCACATCTGTTCAGTTTGACTGACGTTCACTGAACTCACTGACATAAACGCCAAACCTGTGAGACGACGCTGTTGCTTTGTCAAATGGAGAAAATTTTGAGAAGATTTTAGATCCAGTTGATCGACAGCTGAATGGATGAACACGATTCACAACAATTACACACTGAACAGCCTGGACACGACACATGGCCCCATGATTAAGATGCCATATTTCTGGGCCCTGCCACCTGCTGGCTCATCATAAATCCAAGGTCAACAGAACAGACGAGCATTGTCAGAAACCTTTATCTGTTTCTGCAGTTTTGTTCAGCTGCCTCTGATTTCTCGTCTTGGCTCACAGCAGAGTGACCAGACGTCATTTCCTGCTGCTGTGGTCCATATGGCCTGATGTTTGGTCTCCTGTCATTTCTGTGGCTTTAATTTTTTCATTTTTACCGTAACTGGACCAGATAATGTCAGATCAAGCGTCCGTTACCTCCTCGTCACCAAAATGAAATTTTTACCTGTAGTAGAAGTCAGTGTTTGTTTGTTTTTTGTCCAGATCACCAAACATCTTGTCTGTGTAGGTTCTCACTCATTCAGGTCATTTTATTTGAAGAGGTTTATGACTAGGCTTTGTTTTTAAGATGTTTCTCCTAAACTGGTGATCTTCTCTCTGTAGGGCAGAGCACTTCCCACTCTTCCACCATGTGGTCCCAATCATTTATCTGGTGATCCACTGCCGCCTTCGTCTTGAAAAACTGTTGGGTTTCTGATAATAAACCGGCACGTGGATCAAAGAGACCAGAACTGCTGTGTTTTCTGGCAAAAGAAAACAGAGCAGATTCTGGTCGTGACAGAGAATCTGTAGTGACAAATCAGATGAGTGAAAACCCAGCTTCCAGCGGCGCCACTGCTCTTCTCTCTGGAAACGACAGTGTGAATGTTGGCAGAAAAAGCAGAAATTGCCTGACATTGAAATACCACAACACTGACACAGACTGTTTTTTTTTTAAACAATCCAAAGTGCACTGTCATAACCAAACACAACTGAAATCACTTCTGACAACCAGATAACTAACAGTTATCTTTTTTCCCTCCAAATATATCCATTTGAAAACAGCTCCTGTCAAAGTCTTGTTGTTGTATTTAAACAGAAATCAAACTGGGATTTTTTTTCTTTTGTTCACAGGACAATACGGCGGAGTCGTCAGAACGGGCCGCTATGATTGAACAGTATCTCCAAGAGTTGGTCCAAAGGGCATCAGACACCAACCTAAAGGGCGAGGCCCTCCACAGGCTCTGGCCCTCTATGTTTGCGGAGATGGTGAGAGACAGTGTGTTGGAGATGAGGGACCGAGCAGCGTTTGGACAGGCCAGTCTGTCAAAGCTCTCTGAGACCAAGTGAAGAGGACCAAAAAGTTCAACCTCACATGTTATTTTGCCGGTGGCCTCTAGGGCGCAGTCTGACCTCCCAGATACTAACCTTTGAGACTCTTAGGAACTCACGAAAAAAACGACTTGATTTGAACGTAGCCTTTTACAGACAACACACACTGATTCTCCAGTGTGTGGCGCTGTGACATGTCAGAGGAAGAACGCAGAGTGTGTCGGACTGCTCACAGAGCGGCGCCCCCTCTCTGCAGATTTGTGAACGACCACTTCTCACCATCAGCGTCATCAGCTAAAAGCTGTTTCTGTTCCCATTCCTTCATGTCATCGTGTCACACACTGATGGATCACTTTTAATCACTACAGGTAAAAAAAAGAAACACACAGATTTTTTTTTTAAATTTAATTTACCACAGTTATCTTTTCTTTATTGTACCTGGAATTAAATTGATTTCTGTAATTAACAGTTTGTACAGGACTTGTTCATTGCAGAAATTTAGATTTTCCAGAAGAAAATATTTCCGACTTATTTTTTAGTTTTAGTTTGATCTAAATATAGGAAAGAATTATTGAATGAAGACTGATGGACTTGAATGATATTTTTTATTTTTTCTGGATGACAGTGATGGGGATGATGACAACATTTTTACAGGCAGACACTTCACAGATATATTCCGTTTTCTCCTCCTTATCCTGCAGCTACGAGCAGGTCGTTGTCTGGTGAAGGATAATGATTTTTTTTTTTTCTGATATAAACAACCCCAGTGGCTCCAGTCCAAACTGTCACTCAAGTCTTTCAGTGGTGCAATGTAGAACATATGAAACAACTGTCACAATATTGTCTCTGGTTTCACTTCTGTGTACATCATGTTTAAAATACTCCTTATCTAACAACACACATACTGTACAATAAGTACTTTTTACAACGTAAGCGTTTCACATAAAATACCACTGTAAAATACTGCAATGTTTTTATTTGTTTATTCATTTTTTATCTCTAAACACTTGCTGAACTATAAGAGGAAGAACCGTTAACTTAAGGCCCAGCTCCAATTCAAATCTGCTGAGTTTGATTGGCTTCATTTTTATCTTTTTTTCTCAAAGTTGGGTTGTAATAAACTTGACTTATTTTAATAAAATAATTCTAATCAGGGGAAAGATATTCAGATACATTTTTTTAATTTATTAATAAAACTTATTTATGAAGAAAAATGTACAAATAAAATCCCATATTTACTGCAAGAAGATGTTTTCATGTCACTGAAGCGCCTGAAACTTTAAACACCATTTCAACCAATCAGATGCCTCACTTTTGCTGTCGACTGATTCATGATGATGAAGAACGCAGCTTCACTGACTGAAGGTGAACATGAATGACTAAAATCCACCAACTCTTGACGCTACATTTTGTGTCATTTTTCAGTTTTTTCTACAGATTCTCCTCTGCTCTACTTTCAGGGTGGAGATTTAGAAGATCAAGAAAAAGTCCAGTCCACTTGGTTATATGGTCTGTGATCTCCTCAATCTGTGAGGCGCTGTGACAGTATGATTGGTCCACTCTCTGTGAAGGTAAAGGATCTGAACGTTCAGCTTGGAGAACCTTTATAGACTGCCTGAACCCTGAGGGCGATGGCTCTACCTTCTGTTCACACCCAGTTTGTCTTTCCTTCCCATTCATGTGCTGCCAGGAGAACCTCAGAGTTATTGTCTCGCCCAGGGACACCTTGGCGTGTAGACTGGCAGAGCCTGGAGTCCTTGAGGATTGTCTGGGTTCTCAAGACCAGTTCCTGGAAGTCATTTCTGTTCATGTAGGTTTTTTGTAGCTGCAAAAGCAAAAGAAGTCCCTGCAGATTGACACTATATTTTTGACCTCTTAATAGGGACAGTGTGTAGGTGTTAGCAACACCTACTGGTAAAATGTTCTAACCTTTTAGTGAAAATGCTACAATAATCCCTCAGTCAAGAGGAATGGTTTTATATGAGATGAAAATAAAAGGTAATGAAATATAATTATTTATTTACAATCCCTAACACATCGGTAACACATTATCAGCAGCACACCTTTAGTGAAAATGCTACAATATCCCTCAGTCAAGAGAAATGGTTTTATGAGAGATGAAAATAAAAGGTAATGAAAAATAATTATTAATTTACAATCCCTAACGCATCGGTAACACATTATCAGCAGCACACACACACAGACACACACAGACAGACACACAGACAGACAAACACAGACACATATTAAAGAAGAGTGTGCTAGTTGAGCTGGCATGCACAGACAGGACTCCAGTAAACTATTTTTCCAAATATTGAGAGAGCAGAGCAGGTAGAGGGGATCAGTACTACGCTAATGTGCAATCACAAAGACCCTGTGGCCAGAACACGAAGACATCCACTCAATTTGTATTTGGATAAATGACGAGAAACAAAAAAACAAACAAAAAAACAACCTAATCACAGGTTTGGACACTAATGTGTTGGACAAACTGTCTGTTTAGTCTGGAGACAGCGCTGCCAGTTCATTCTCCCTGAAACAAATATTAGTTTACTGGTGAAAACACCAGATGCATTGTTGTTGTTGTGACTGTACCTACTACATATTAGGATATTCATTAGATTTTTTTAAATCACTTCACATACTTGTCTCGCAGTTTGTGTCACAGATTAAGACGTTGATGAATGAATAATCACCAGGAAGGTGTTTTGTCCCTCTGGCTTTGATTTTAAAAAATTACAATTTACAATTTACGTGTTGGGTAAAAATATCAGTCAAAAATAAAGGGATGATTGTAAATTACACTTGACTATTGACGGGGACCCTTAGGCTCAGACACTCAGACATCATTCCTGACCGTCACAAACCTTCTATTTGTTAAAGTTTTTCTCCTTTTAGTGTCCAAAATAGTCCAATCAAACAAAAAATTTATGACCCCTTTTGGAACCTCCACGTACCATCTAAGGGCCACAAACCCTATGTTGGAGACTTCTACTGTAATACCTTTGTCTCGCTGGAGTGATTTTTTTTTTTTTTTTTTTTAATAATTCAACTCTCCCTTCATATCCCTGATCCAGGATTGATGTATGAATTTGAGGCTCAGGGTTGCAGTTCTATCTACTGTATATCTATTCACAGTCTTGGGTGGTCTGGGTGGTCTGTATCAGCACCAGGACTTTCTCTTTTATAAATACTTACATTTACCCAAGTGTCGACAGATTTACTTTCAGAGACGTGAGAGAGAGAGAGAGGGAGATCTTCTAACACTCACAGATGATGTTGGCTTCACTCGCGTGTTTATAAGAAGATGGAAAAAAAACAAGTGGGTGAAAATAATGAGTTCTTTTTGTAACAGGCAGAAAAAAGAAGAGAGAGATTTGTTCACATAATTTACTTCTCTTTGTCGTGAGTGACTTCAGGATTGAAAGTCACCGTCTGACATTAAGGAAAGTTTAAGGTTTTTTGGTCACGTTCTTTTTCTTCTTTTGACAGTAAATTCTCTGACTTTTAGACAAACTTTATTTAAGGAACCATCAAGAACTTCAAACACAAACAGACAATGATCCATTAGTGACAGTGACCCAGGGCACCAGGTGGCACCAGTCAAAGACTAATGACAGAGACACAGGTGAGTGTGATCACACTAACTAACTCCACCCAGAGGACGAGACCGGAAGTGGAAAACACACAGACCTAAATGTTAGGTCTGTGTGTTTTCCACTTCCGGTCCGGTGAATTTTCGTCTTCCACATCAGGAAAGAACAGGGAAACGGTCAGAGATTCTCAAAGGTCTCAAAGATTGAATATAAATATAAAACCTAATTCATTCAAAGGGTGTTTCTGGAACAGACGTTTATTATGATGATTGTTATCATTCTCATTATTACTGTAGTAACCGACACACTCCTCTGTCTCTCTTCTCTCTCTCTCGCGTCACACTACACAAGCGCACGCGTACACACACACACGTATAATCGCTATAGTCGTAGTAACAGCAGGGGGCGCAGCAGCAGGTTTGTGTCTCGCTCTCTCTCCCCGTGCGTCAGCACAGATTTCCCCGGGATTCACCGTGATGACCAGACTCCGAACTTTCTCCGACTTCGTGTTTTGATTCCTTGGCTCCCTCCTGACCCTGGATCAGATCTCCACCCTCACATGGCTCTTCAGCAGCAGCAGCAGGGGCAGCAGGGGCGAGTGTGTGCGGGGAAACCCTGGATTAATGTTTGGACCACGGAGGTACCTGTGCGGGGGAGAGGAGCAGTGAGCGCCGCGGTGTAGGACCCGTGGATCAGACTCCGTGGAGTGAAACTCTCACTCAGGTACGTGGGCGTGTGGCGTGTTTCACTAATCCGACTCTCGTTGTTACCAACAACAGAGATATCTGACCCTGTTTTTACTCCCTCCAGCTCTACATCTGTCACCGTCCGGTTCCATCAACATCATTCAGACAAGGGGCCACGGAGGTACAGTGTCTGGGGTGGAGGGGCTCCAAGCCTTTCTCTAACTGGATAAGGGTCCACTCATTAGAAGCTAAAAGGTCAAGAGGTCATCTCACATGGTCAAGTGGATAGATAGGACAGCCCCCCCTCCCCTCCTGTGTCAGTATCTGGAATTACACTGAAGGAAATGTCAGATCGAAAAAAAAAAAAAAAACAACTTTCTGTTTCAACTGTAAGATTTATTTCCTGTTAATTATTCACAGGGACTGAAGCTGGTGTTGAAGACTTCGCTGAGCTGTGAGGAGACACAGATCGGGTTTTTTCTACCTCACGGGACCAGTGGACGGTGGACACAGAGGACGCGTTGTGTTGAGAATGTCAGCACCACTCAAGTGTCCGCTCATGTAAAAGCTCTGGGGTTTTTTTTTTTGTTTTTTTTTACTACACACAAGCGTCATCTCCCAGGATCCAGGAGGAGTCATGCAGCGAGTCTGTGTCTGGAGTTTCAGGTAAAGTGAGTGGGACGGATTTAATGGGGTACGTGTCGTTGAGTTACAATGTTTTCGTCCGTCCAACTTTAGAAGAGATAAAACAAGATAAGGCTTTGATGAAGAAAAAGAAAAGACAACACAAATGTGAAAAGGAGGAGGAGGAAATGGAGCGTTCAAGTTTTTAAAAGGATTAATAAAATAAATTACATGTAAAAATAGTGTTAAAATATGAAAACAGAAGAGGAAGAATCTATTGTTAAAAAAAAAAAGTGAATGTCTTTGTGTTTTTGTCTGTAGACTTTCTCTGCTGCTGCTGCTCGGCTCAGATTCCCTGAAGTGTCAACACACAGAACAGGAACAGGTGAGAAACAGTAGACTTTTTTTTTTTTAAATAATATATAATAAGTGATTTCAGCTCCTCCTTAAACTGTTGATGTGGTCTTTGACAGACAGATGTCTGAGGTTGTTTTTTTTTAAAATCTACTTTGGAGGGGGGGCTCAGAGGGAGGGCGTGAGGACAGAGAGTGAAAAGTTGTGTTGACTTCAGACAGACTGTGTGTGGGAGGGGGGGCTCAGAGGGAGGGGGGGGGCTGATGTCAGCAGATCACCTTTTGACCTCAGGAGCCAAAGGAACAACATGAGTGCAGCAAGTGTCTGAACAACTATTTAGTCGTTTCGAGTGCGTCGGGGGTTCGAGCGCGAGTCGACGGCATGTGTTTCCATTGGGAATCCAGCTGCGTGACCTGTGGCTGACACGGGAGAAGACAGTGGCGTTGAGTTACAAAGGCTGCTGCAGGAAAGGGGAGAAGGAGGGAGGTCTGAGTCCCGCTGAATAGCTGCTCAGGCTGACTGACAGCAGAAGACCTTCCTGCCAACTCTCCCCGCTGCCTCGGTGCGACGCTTTCTAGCCACTAAAAGTGGGAGACAGCTGAACTTTTACTGGCTCTGTGTGCGTTGACCAGACAGAGACAGAGAGAGAGAGAGAGACGTGTGCGTTGACCAGACAGAGGGAGAGAGAGGTGGCTGTGAATGAGACCAAGTGCTCCTCAAAGAGCAGGGTTTCCACGCGGCTCCAGGGACAAAGCTGGCGTTGCACGGAACTCGTGCTGGCAACTTCCTCAACCTGAGTGTGTAGTGATCACAGCCTCTGCTGAGAGTCAACAGTCAGGTTTAGGTGAAATAACTGAACTGAGGTCAGTTTCATGAACAGTTTGTTGATTAGGTCAGGAGAGAAAAAGGAGGAATAACCTTTAAAAGACGTCATACAATCTCACAAAATCAATCACTTTTTTTAAAAAAAATTCGGAGTAATTCTCTATAGTGGTTTATGAGGAATAATTTTTTAAGAGTAATTCTCTATAGTGGTTTATGAGGTAAAAAAAATTCGGAGTAATTCTCTATGGTGGTTTATGAGGCTTTTATCAACCAGCAAACTGGCCCAGTAGGTGGCAGTATTGCAATTTAAGAAATAGAAAAATTACCTTTAATGGTTATTGTCATCATATAAAAACAAAGTCTTTCCCAGGTAAATAACCCACTGACTCGTTGCACGTTATCACGCAGGTTCACCAGCAGGAGGAGCCGCAGCAGCAGCAGGAGGTCAGAGCCGTGCACGGAGAAATCCGCGGCTCTTGGGGGGCCTGGGGCTCCTGGTCCTCCTGCTCCCGCACCTGTGGAGGGGGGGTGCAGGAGCAGAGCAGGCCCTGTCTGCCCGTGTACACGCCAACCCAAAACGCCAGAAGAACCGGAGGTGGGAATCCACAACATCAGGGTCACGTGACCTCCGCGCTCCAGCCGACAGTTTTACAGACAGGTGGCAGATTCACCAACAGCAGTCGGAAAGATCTGCGACCGGGAGGACGGAGGTACGAGTCACGGTAACGAGTTTGGTTCTAATTACAAAAAAACACAAACATGGCAGAAAACTAGATGAACTTTTAACTTGAATTTCCTTATGTGAAAACTAGGGAGTTGTTGTTTTCCAGTTTTTACATTGCAAACTACATTTACCTTCATTATTAAACTCCCAGTGAACTACATTTACCTTCATTATTAAACTCCCCAACAGTTAGGTGACATTTTACTGACCTCAGTCCTTGGCACATGAACCTTCCGTAAGTTTAGTCTTCCTCGTCTCCTGACCCCGGTCACAGTAAGAAGCCATGACCAATCAGACACATTTTAATGAGACTGTAAACATATTGAACTTGTTCTCAGCTGAAACAGTTCTGACAGCCAAGTCATCACCACTGAATGGAAAAAAAGAAAAAAAAAAGTCTCATCGTTTACTCTCAGAGCTACATTTAAATCCAAGAAAAAGTATTAAAACTGGAGGAAGAAAAAAAATCACTCGTATTGAGTTTGTAGCAGTCGGCTTTGTTTAAAACTGCCAGTTTTTATAGAGGCCGTTTGTCTGCGCTGCATGCTGAGCAGTCTGATTTAAAAGTGACTTTTGGGAGCCATCGCTGCGGGCCCTCTGATTGCCCTCCAGTGGATAGCTGCTCTTTTATTGCCGGAGTCAAAGGCTTGGCTTGTGCTGGGCTGCTTTGTGACCTCCTTGCCTTTACACAAACACCACTGACAGCTGAGTAATGGGGGTGGCTTGAGTTGGAATCTAAGGAGCCAAATAATGACAAAAGCTCCTTGATTTCTGCTACTGAGGTCCTGGTTTCTCTCCAAAGGTTATGTTCAAATAAAGCGCCGGAAAAGTTTTTCTCAGGCGGAGAGGACATTGAACTAATAAGTCCTGAAAACACACTGGCTGTGCCCTGTGGTTGACTCCGCACAGTAAATATTTGTGTTTGAACAAATAATATGAAAATTGATGATTCTTTTTTTTTTCCACTAGGGAGGGGTAAAAAAATGGGTTTAATGACATGGGCTGACAAATGATTACATTTTTAAATCACAATGTAAAAATGGGTTTAATGACAAATGATTACATTTTTAAATCACAGATTCACTGTGGGTTGATATTAATAAATCAACATTTGTAAATATGACAAAAAACAGCATTTTTTTTTTCCTGTATTTTGCTGAAATAGACAGACAATCTTAGAACGCTTTGGTTCAATGAAACCTCGTTCATTCTACATCTGCTTTAAAAATGCATTCCCATGTTTTATTCTGGTTAATTTCACAAATTGATTCATGCATTTTAACCCAGAATATTCCCAACCTTTTTTGTCTGGTGACCACATTGACATCACATATTTCTGGCAACCGTCAGAGAATATTTCTTCTTTTTCTTTTCTAGAATTAGTTTGTTTTACTGTGTTTCAAATAGTATTCAGATTAGTGCACAAAACCACATTTTATTTTCCAGCGCCAACTCAGATATTTTTATAATCTTTTTGATCTCCATTTATATTCATGGTGGTTTTTGATTTGTGATTTTGAAAAGATTCCATTTTTTATTTTTTTTTATCAATTACTTGATATTCCAGGCGACCCCACGTGGAGTCACAAGTTCGAGTCATTGAGCAAACACTGATTTAATCTGTTAATTCTGACGCTCCTGGTCCGACTGTAATCCCGCTCTCTGTTGCGTCTCCAGGAGGCTCAGTCAGTTCGTTCCAGGGAGGTACGGCTACGGAACAGCTCCTTATGGAGGAAGAACTCACCCTCACAGACAGAGACGCTCCCCTGTGGGTGACTACAACCTCCCCACTGTCAGGGGTCGCGCCAGTCATAGGTCAAACAGCATCGATCGCCCCAACACCCTGCATCGCAGCAGCGTTCCCTACGTACGACCCAGACTGCAGCAGCCCACAAATAACCAGGTCTGGGCCCCGCTTTACCAGCCCGGTCCAGTCAGCAGGGCCAATCAGGAGCCGCAGTCCGGCAGCCAGACATCGGCTGGACAACAACAGCAGCATCAGCAGCAGCAGCAGCATCAACAGCAGCAGCAGAGACCCTACAGTCCTTTATCTTCTTCATTCTGTGCAGGGGAGAGCGCCCACTACAGGATCTGTAACAGTGATGTGAGTATGATGATGTTTGTCATCTCTGTGACTGGATTTACCCTGATCACGTGATCACATGATCACGTGATCACATGACCAGCTACACTGGTGTTTCCCAAATTAAACTTAGCCTTTTCGAGTTAATTTTAAATTTAGTTTCATTTTCCCAGAAATGAAGAAGCAGAATAAAAATTAATAATATAATCTATTATCTGGAATAACAACTATTTTGACGAATCCTGTGATTGGCTACTGCATCTTACTGTACGTTGTATGCTAGAACGACAAGAACGTAACTGTACTGTACGACAACGGTTTGTTTTCTCTTCCAGGACACAGAAACACATGAGCATCAAAACAGTTTTACGTCAGTACTCATATAGACAGACATGTGATCTCAAACTTAGTTTTTGGCCCCAGACTGGACCACAGCCCGTAGTTTTGGAAACTGTGTTTTCAATTCAGCTTTCCTCTGTTCGGCTTTTGATTTTCAAGCATTTGTTTGTAATAAAACAAATGTCTGAACAGACTGGAGTTTATTCAGACTGGAGTGTATTAAGTTTTTGATAAGAACGTATCTGAACCAGCACTGGCAAAAATAATGCATCTATTTTTATGGACTTTAAAAAAGTCCAGAGATTTTAAAGGAGGAAGTTCTTCACTGACATTTCCTTCCTCTCAGTGAAACTGTATTTGCAAAAAAAAATTCACACTTTATGTCCAGGGTTAAGATGCTGGTTGTTGCCTTATCTTGAACATTACATAAACATAGGATGTTAGGGTTAGTTAAAAGTTTTATGAAATTGGAGATTATTTTTCTTCATAACTGATGACTTCCTGAGTCTAATCTTCTGACTCAGAGTGTGTGAAGAAACTTCCCGTCCATGGAATCCATCCTGTGCATCAACATAAAGTTAAACAACGCCTGCGTCTGTACATTGTCTCTGGCGTGTGATGAAACAGATGAGTGAAGCAGGAGGCGGAGTTTGTTTAGACAGAGGAGATATGAAGATGGAGTAAAACCAAACTACAACTGCTTTTCAGGCAGATACTCTGATCGGACCAGATACTCTGATCGGAGCAGATACTCTGATTGGAGCAGATACTACTGTGTTGGTGAAAAATAATACGAGGACATGTGTGTTTTTGTCTCTCTCTCTCTCTCTCTGTGTGTGTGTGTGTTGGGTCTGTCCTCAGGCCTGTCCTCCGTCCAGCAGACACTTCAGGGCTGTTCAATGTTCTTATCACAACAACCGACCTTTCATGGGACGACTGTACGAATGGGAACCTTTCAACGAGGGTAGGTTTATGTTCTCTCTCTCTCACACATAGGATTTAACAATGGAAGATGTGTATGTATATATGTACGTATATGTGTATATATATATACTTAGCAATAATCAGACAAACGGCTGATATTTCCAATATTAATTATTATAGAAACTCATCAAATCATTTATCTCTAATAATCAGGGTTCTTCCATCTGCACAGCGTCTGACCTCTGACCTCTGACCTACACGTGGTCTTTCGTGCTGGGATCTACTGTACAGTCAGACTGTACAGTCACTATGTCTGCAGTTACACTGACAAACACTCGACGTTTCCACGCAACACTCGAAAACACTCCTGGAGAAGTCATTTCTCAGAGAACACCAGTAGAACTAACGGTAGAACTGACGGTAGAACTAAAGGTAGAACTAAAGGTAGAACTGATGGTAGAACTGACGGTCTGCTGATGAGCGTTCTGTCAGGCTGACATGTGCAGCTGCAGATGTGGAGGTGACGTCACCTCAGGTAAACCCTGTGTTTCTCCAGGAGTGTTTAAACGCCCTCTTGTGAACGCGCCTAAGAATTATGACCTCTGGGCAAATGTGACATTTAAAATGACGAAGCAGCCGAACAGAATGGACGAAACAGACGAATCCATTCATCGTGTTCGTGTCGTGGATTCATTTGGAGAGAGTGAAGTCTCATGAAGCTGTTTACCAAATGTTAGTGTTTGGAATGTAAGCGTTTTTGTGACATTATATCCATAATATTTGGTTTGACGCACAGTTGACATTTTGTTTCAAATGCTCGGTCATTACTGACTGAATAAGAAGAAACAAAAATAAACAGACAGTGTGACAGACGGATGATATTTTTTACTTGCAAAAAAAGAAACCATTCCCCAAAAAACATTCCCGCTGTAGTCTGCAGACTCAGCTTTTTATTTACCCTCCATTAATCTCCAGTTTAGGTGTGTAATTTGGGAATAACTTCACACAGCGGTGAATGATTAATTTTTCTGCTCTACACTCTACATAATTTGATTGATTGTCTTGCTTGCAGTTGTTTTTGGTTCTCCGTAACTGCTTTGCCATCAAAAAAAAAAAAAAAAAATCAGTGTTTACATGAAAAAATCTCATAAATCTCGTTTCAGTTCCTGCAGATCAACACTGCGAGCTCAACTGCCGAGCCAAAGGGTTCAGGTTCTACGTACGCCAGTCAGACAGGGTGATCGACGGGACGCCGTGTGGACAGAACAGTACGGCTACGTGTGTGGCGGGAAAGTGTTCGGTAGGATTCAAAAACATTTTTTATTATTATTTTAATAACAAACCAAGTGATTGGTGCACTGGTGATGAGAATTCGATTGTATGATTTATCTCGTGGTGTTGACTGTGTCTGATTCAAAACTACTGTATATCAGTACGCTGCTGTGTCCTCTGTGAGCAGCAGAGGGCAGCACAGCACAAGTATAAACTCCGTCTTTCTGCTAACTGGGAGTGAAATAAAGGTCAGGAGGAGGAATCCTTCACTCTCCTCCTGGGCCAAAGCAGGGAATGTGGGAACTGAATGTAGGACACACTTGTTCTCCAGATCCTATTCCACAAAAACACACCTGTGTGTGTGTGTGTGTGTGCGTGCGCTGCGGCTTCTCATGACTGGTTATGTAGTTAAAGCGCTGGAGTCATATGTAAGAATAAAGACATCTGAATGAAGTCTCTCCCAGGTAGTTAGGCTGACCGTGTTATTTTAACCTCACATTTGATGTTTCGTTGTAATCAACCTTTAAAAAAAGACCATATAATCCTGACAGTAAAGCCTCTAATCTCTGTTTCTCCTAACACCTTCAACAATACGATATCTCATATACTTGAAGGATAAGGCAGAATTTAGACACAGTTTGAACAATAGCTACTCTTCCTGTGGTGAAGTCGTGCTGCCAAATTATTTTTGGATTCATATTCACCAGCGGCTTTTCAGGAGAAGGAGATACTTTTCTCATCTGAGATTCCCTGGCTGGTCCGGGCGTTTGGATTGGAGACGGCCCAATGTCCGAGCCAAGAGATAATATCAAAACATCTGGATTATTTAATTAAAAACAGAGCTGCTCCGAACATTGACATCAAACGCTATTATGAAACCAGATGAAAACCTTTGCGTTTAGCGGGAGGAGCTTGGAGACGGCGGGTTCTCGCGGTGACAGATGGTATATACGTGAAGCACGAGGGAGGAAAAGTCATCGCAAACATGACGACAGAAAGAGAGAGAGAGAGAGAGCAGAGCCAGACTGGTGGAGGAAGTCGTCAGTGCAGCTATTAATCATCCATCAGTAGAGGTGGAACAACTGGAGGAGAGAGAGCAGAAAGAGTCGGTCATCACCGGTGCCAGCGTTGATCACCTGACAGTCAGCTGATTGTGTGGGTCTAGACCACAGGTGTCAAACTCGGGCCCGCGGGCCAAATCTGGCCCACATTTTAATTATATTTGGCCCGCACGATTTGTAGTATTAGCAGTGTATCTTATCGCATACATTTTTGGTCGGTAGTTTTGATGTTGGCCTGACAAAAGATTGACAAAATGGAACTGGAAAGACAACAGATGGACAGAGACATAAGAAACAAATATGCATAACACGGCTGTGAGTTTGTGAGTGTTCAGATTATTAAGCTTTTGTTGTTCCAGATTCTGTGTTTATACAAAACTACAGTTTGTTTCCTTATGAAAGCATTTTACATTCCATATCTGGAGAGAAGGGAAAAGATGAACAATTACCATCAATTTTTAAATAAATATTAAGTTTGGCCCAAGACTTCATCCCAGTTTTTCATCTTGGCCCACTGTGAATTTGAATTTGAATTTGACCCCGTCTGGTCTCGACTGAAGGAAGTCTTTCGAATATTTATCTTTTCCTTTAGTATTTTTATTGTGAAAAACGTAAACATTTTTTGAATGTTTTGAAAATGAGAAGATCTCAGATGAGGAGCTGTTGATGTGGTGTGGTCTTTTAAACGTTCACTTTTCTTGATCTCTGTGTTGAAACACGACCCTTTAATGGACAAACAAATACCTTTAATCTGTAGGTGAAAACTGACGGTGTCTTTGTGTCTGAGGGAATACTTGAACATAGTCAACTTCACCCCTTAAATCCCACACGCTGAACATTTCAACATGTGTATCCCGCCCCCTGCAGTTCAATATTTCAGTAGCAGCTTTTACACTTACCTTCAGGTGACACATCTCAACTGTTAAGACAATATTTTCCTTCCTATCGTAGCAACTGTACGTGGGCGTTGCCAAGTCAGGGTTGAGAGTTGCTGCTTGTTAAAGATGTTGAGTTGATTTTTTATGTGTGCTGCTGGAACGTCAGCGTTCCCTGGTGAGTTCTCCTGACTCAACAACAGATACTCCAGTGCTGAGTTGCACTGAGCCGTTGATTGAACGGCTCGTCAGAGGACGGATGATGTCGACAGATTTGGACACCAGAGGGTGAAAGGAGTAATATTTCTCTCCGGGGTCTGAGGGGATGATTGCAGGCTTGGATTGGAACCACTGCTCTGTGACACACTCCCGTTTTCTGTCCGCGCGCGTTAGCATGAAGTGCTGAGATGACATACTTAACGGCTAATGGCGTCTCACACACTTTCCGTTCAGGAGCAGTTACTGTGCGTCCACTGTAAAAACCCTCGAAGCTGAAACACGTTCACACCTTCACTGTATGAAAGGAGCGCACGGTGGAGACGCGGTCTGTGTTCCTGCTTCACAGCAGAAGGTCGGTTGCCTCGGTCGTTGCCAATGGAGTTTGAATGTTGTTCTAGTTCATGTGAGGGGTTTGTTTTTCTGGCGTATTCCATTCAAAACATGTAGATTAGGGATTAAATTTATTGGACACTTGGATTTGAATGTGTGTTTTTGTCTCCATGTGTGGTCCAGTGATGGACCGTGAACTGAACAATGATCTGGGTTTGGCTGCAGCTCCTCCTGTGACTCTGGAATGAGTTTAACAGTAGTGTTCGGTTGGTTGGTTGGATGGATGGATGGATGGATGGATGCATGGAGGGCAGGATTGATGGATGAATCCCTGACTGATCATTTTAATTCGTTGACACCTGATACTGGTTTATAAATGGAAAGATGGATTGCTGGATGAATCCCTGACTGATCTTTTTAATTCGTTGACACCTGATACTGGTCTGTTGATTGTGTCAAAGGTCATGGGGAGTCCTGCTGCGTTCAGCTTCCTGTTGATCTCAGTTTTCACTCTGTTTATTTATATATTTACATCACATTTAGTCCAATTATAAATAAGCATTTTGACAATGTATTGTGATGATGATGTGTTTCCAGTCAGCTGGACGTTTTTTTTTAAACCCTTCTTATAAAGTCTTATGTTTTAAATTGGAGCTCATTTGAATCAGTTTCATTCGTGTTGCCGTATATTATCTCCACCGATGTGTTCCCCGGCTCTCTGACCAACTCAGCTCAGCTCTGAGGCACTGAAGCTCCCTTGAATAAAGACCTCTTTATGGTGGGAATTCCATTCAGCTGCCACTTCTGTCCTTTTATGCCAAGAAGTGCATTTGAGAAGGGTGTGTGTGTATTTTTAAAGGGCGCTCACTGACCACATACCTCTCAGCCGGTGGTGGTGGTGGTGGTGGTGGTGGTGGTGGTGGGCCCAGCTGAGGGTGAAGTTCCATCCCAGTTGGTTTGTACTTCCTCCTCCTCCTCTTCCTCCTCCTGCTGCTGCTGCTGCTCAGTGCACACAGATCACACACGATGATGAAATACCAGGAAATCCATGAACGTTTGGAGTTTAAGCCCATTGATTTATGTGCATGATAAATGAGCCCAATAACTGTTCAAATATTTTCATTTGGTTTTGTGTCAGTCAGCCTGACTGTTGACTGACAGGTGGCGTGGCATTAACCCGCCTGCTGTTGTCGTGTCTTAAATGTGAGGCTGCGTCCGACCCGGTGCCGTGTCAGGGTCCCAGCCGCAGCGGTTTGCTCTGCTCTGCTCTGCCTGGACTGGCTCCCAGCGCCCCGTGTGTGGCTCCGACCCAAACTCATCAAACGACAGTCCTGGCTGGGCTTCACTCTTCAGCTACGACAGATGCGTCTGATCTCCGTGTTCCCTGCTGTAACAGCGAGTCGGGGCTGCTAA